ATGGCAATGAAATTCACACGTGTCGTCTAGTTTAGGATCTGCATGCGTTTGTGGAACTCCTTCAACGGGAGCTTAATGAACATAGTTTCTTTAAGGAGAATGGTCGGAGGCTGTTAAAACGAAAAAGTTTCATTCACTATTGCACAAGGTAGCGATAGTAGGTAACTGTTTGGCAGCGGTTTAAGTGCAGCTAGCCTTTTTCGTCTAGCTTGTCATAAAATCAGAAAGAATTCAAAAAGGCTGCATCAGATGAAAAACTGTGGCATGCTCTTGTGACTTCATATGTTGGTGCTTGTGAATTAATTTAGTTTTGATGAATCGGTTTCTACTCGAAAAACTGCTTCAGACACAAGGGACGGTGAGTAGTATGCTTGGTTTTCAACTATTAATTGTCATCTAGAGGCATCATTCATTGAGCTAATAATTTCCAAAAAGAAGGTCAAAAAAGTGCTGCATGAAAATGCCACGTCCACAACGAGGTTTGGAGGCACATCGCCGAACAGCAGGCACATGCTAAAAGTCACTGGAGTGGTTGATAACTTGCCAGATCCTGTGTATGAACATTACAAAAGGTAATGTTAAAGAAAAATTCTCACTAAACATCACCCAAACTTTTCATTCCAGCACTACGTTTGTACAGAAAATATTGAATTGTAAAAAACTTTAAGTGCTTTTACCAAAATATATATTAACCGAGCAAGGTACCTTCATGACTGAGAATAAATCACCTAATGAAATGTTATTTTAAATAACACTAGGAGTGTATAAGCATTTATGAGCTAAAAATGGAAAAGATGATCGCTGGTGAAGAAAGCTTCCTCCTTACATGTCGAAGAGACGAAGGGAGAATGATGAAGAAAATACCGCAGCCAAATTAATCGATGGAAGCTAGTGGAACAAAACAGACCGAACACCCAGAGGTCTTGATTTTGACATTGAAACCCTGGGCCTATTATTTCCCTCCTAGGTATCACATTGCAACCAGATTACGTCAAGACCCGAACACATGCAATTTGCAGAGAGAGAGAGGGTACGGTGTCTACCATCTCCGTAGCAGCGTAGTCAAAAATGCGGCTTTGTGAATTATAGATGAAACACTTTGCGGATACTATATAAAATGCATTTTTGTTTGAGCCATTGAACACAAAGGATATTTAGTCATTTTAAAGACACCTCAGTGGAGGGTTTAATGCCTATTAATCATAATCGACGTTATTATAAACAATTCTGATGGTCTCGCAATTTTAAAGATGGAATTAACGCCTTTTAAACGATTGTTAAATAATAGCATCAAGTCATTTTTCCTAGGTTGATTTCAACCCACAGTAGCATTTCATCACGGCCGCTTACAACAAAATGCTTCAAAGTTGAAACGGTAAATCCGGATTTTAAAAGGGATTAAAGGAAACTGCGTAGATTTATACCATGGTAGGATATACGTTAAAGCTACTGAATGACGTTACTTTTAAGAAGGCAATGTCACCTAGCCACCTAAAAGGGTTGGTACTTTTTTAAATCTCAAATCAGATACACCTAAAATAGCGACTGCAAGTAGAGAAAAACATAATCATAAACTCTACCTTTAAAATCACCGACCGGTGTTTCACCTTTGACTTCAGTTAAGAAGTGAATCACTAAATAAATGGGTCATTAAATTATGTAATTGGGTATTTATTTAGAACCATTTTTCAAAAGCATACAATGGGTAGTTTGAAAAAATGCACACTAAAATAGTAGACTTATAACGAGATTGTCAACACCCTTACGGTAAGGTGGAAAATTTTAAAGAAATAGTGGTTCTAGAAAGGTATGTATTTCTAGTATCACTATGTGGAGACACTTTCAGTAAAATTTTTTACCTAACCGGTCCAAATGGGAAAATTTCTTTGACTCTAGATAGTGTCAATTTTTTCTCTCCATCTCTATACTTCGTAAACGTTAAATTCTCAATTGAATAACCGTATTGAAAATGAGTATCTTGCTAAGTTAACCGAATAAAGTTGAGAGGTCAATTGACATCTAAATATGAGTTCTAAGCAGGTTGTCTGGTGATAATGGCAGTGAATAAGTATTGCTATAATGGAGAATCATAGATTCATTTAATAAACTCAATACACTTTCATACTACGACCCAACGTCCTGCTGTTCGAGCCGAATACTCTACTCTACTCAGAGTGACCAAATGAGAGTTAAAATAGACAATTGAGACAAAACTGCATTAAGTCTAGTCTCAAGTCGCAAGTTCTAGTCACGTCTATTTTATGTTGCAATCACACTATACTGAAAGCAACTTAAATAAGACCTCTCGCTTTCATGTAGTTAAAATGACGATTAAGAAATCGGGTTGTCTAAGTGTCTTTTGACTTCACCTTCTTAAACACCTAGTTAGTAATTTCAACGTGTCCATTCAAACATTTTTAAACCAAATTGCACAAAATGTTTTATCATTTTGACATAACTATCTGACTGGTGATTGTGGTAGTCAATTTATCTCCTCTCGTACAATGAAAGCATTAAACAAATATTGACGACAGAACAACAAAGGAATTATTTACCGTTCTTACTCATAAAAAAATTAAAATATTTTGAAGACCATAAATGAAGATCATAAACTGGCCCCATTTGATCCAACATTAGTTGTGATTTTGGGTCTCCCACTTTGGATTTCCACAAGTCCCTGTTTTAAAAACATAATTGGTAGCCCTTCAGAGGGGCAGACTTGTACAAATTGAATTCTACCTATTAAGAAAATTGACAAATAGGTTTAAAAGTCCCAATACAAATTTGACAAATGGTGATAGAATATTCTGAATGAATATTATGAGTTTCAGTCGGAAGTTCACAATTTGGACTATTTTCATAAGCCATTGAATTATAACCTTTACGTTCCCTTCTAGTTATTGTCTACTTGATTCCGTAGTCTGAAAATGTTTAAAAAAATTATTTTAAAGTGGAACTCAGTGACAGATTCTGAGCTAATGTTAATGCATAGTTTTGTATCTGGAATGAGTTATTGTTGACTCGTATCAAGGGCTGATGAATTCCGGCTAATTAATTATTATTATTAAGTTTGCTTCAAGCACAGTATATGCACCTCCGCTGCAAATGTGGGCATGCTTCTCGGGAAAAAACCGCGCTATCATACCTCTACCCGATCTGATTTAAGACTGCATCTCCGCGCAGAAACGTAGATTACCATTATTCTAAGAGTGAGTGAGAGTAGAAAGGTCATGTTAAAGTATAAATATAACTCACTAATCAACAGAGAATAAAGCCGGTTTCATGTCACGCAATCCACATGTCCTTGGGTGAAATGGGCAAAAATAGAACAATCCTATTGAAATGTTGAAAGGCCTGTTAAATAATTACAAGCCTTAACTGCAACAAAAAGCTATAGTCTCTAAAACAAAAATGACCACTTTGCGGTGTTGTATTCGAATAAAGGTACAATATCTCCAACCGGCAGTAGAAAAAAGTCATCAGATCGCAAAGTGAACTTCGATTTGCAAAAGTATGCAAAATTTGGTTAGATCACTGGTAAGGTCTGTTTTGTAGGAAAGTTTAGATTTGCTTGTCCAATTATAATATCCTCAACATTAGAAATACGAAAAGATTCAAATTAGTTTATAGATATGCGCCTCTCTAAAACACCTATGCTTTATTCCTTGAAACTAACCCAAATTTTTTCTTCACCACTTAATACAATCATAGCAGTTTACTGACATTTTTATTCAGAGTTTTTGTATTCAAAAGAGAAATACTTTGTTGTACTTTAATCAGTAATCAGTTAGAGGTGGTATTTGAAGAAATGCTCCCTTATTAAAGGCCGATTTTTTTGGTGTTTTAATAACAAAGAAGAATATATGAAGCGAAACACAGGAAATTGGATTTTGAATTGAAAGCGCTACAACATGAGGCGTGTCATAAAGTTGACACAATTGCAGAATTCACAACCCGAAATCTTGTAGCTAACATTACTGCTCGCTTGCATTTCACGATCAAAGAGCATCCGCCCTACAATTGTCAGCCTTATAATCATCCATCTTAAGATCAATCAAGATTTGATGAGGCTCTAAATTTAACTCGAGCAAATGTTACCATCTTGCAACAAGTCGTGTTGACATGTAAAGAATTGCATAAAATCCGATACGACAGAAAAGTATGTGGAATTTTTAATGTAATCTTGGTTTTTTTTGTTACGTTTAATGCATTCACTATTGCACAAGGTAGCGATAGTAGGTAACTGTTTGGCAGCGGTTTAAGTGCAGCTAGCCTTTTTCGTCTAGCTTGTCATAAAATCAGAAAGAATTCAAAAAGGCTGCATCAGATGAAAAACTGTGGCATGCTCTTGTGACTTCATATGTTGGTGCTTGTGAATTAATTTAGTTTTGATGAATCGGTTTCTACTCGAAAAACTGCTTCAGACACAAGGGACGGTGAGTAGTATGCTTGGTTTTCAACTATTAATTGTCATCTAGAGGCATCATTCATTGAGCTAATAATTTCCAAAAAGAAGGTCAAAAAAGTGCTGCATGAAAATGCCACGTCCACAACGAGGTTTGGAGGCACATCGCCGAACAGCAGGCACATGCTAAAAGTCACTGGAGTGGTTGATAACTTGCCAGATCCTGTGTATGAACATTACAAAAGGTAATGTTAAAGAAAAATTCTCACTAAACATCACCCAAACTTTTCATTCCAGCACTACGTTTGTACAGAAAATATTGAATTGTAAAAAACTTTAAGTGCTTTTACCAAAATATATATTAACCGAGCAAGGTACCTTCATGACTGAGAATAAATCACCTAATGAAATGTTATTTTAAATAACACTAGGAGTGTATAAGCATTTATGAGCTAAAAATGGAAAAGATGATCGCTGGTGAAGAAAGCTTCCTCCTTACATGTCGAAGAGACGAAGGGAGAATGATGAAGAAAATACCGCAGCCAAATTAATCGATGGAAGCTAGTGGAACAAAACAGACCGAACACCCAGAGGTCTTGATTTTGACATTGAAACCCTGGGCCTATTATTTCCCTCCTAGGTATCACATTGCAACCAGATTACGTCAAGACCCGAACACATGCAATTTGCAGAGAGAGAGAGGGTACGGTGTCTACCATCTCCGTAGCAGCGTAGTCAAAAATGCGGCTTTGTGAATTATAGATGAAACACTTTGCGGATACTATATAAAATGCATTTTTGTTTGAGCCATTGAACACAAAGGATATTTAGTCATTTTAAAGACACCTCAGTGGAGGGTTTAATGCCTATTAATCATAATCGACGTTATTATAAACAATTCTGATGGTCTCGCAATTTTAAAGATGGAATTAACGCCTTTTAAACGATTGTTAAATAATAGCATCAAGTCATTTTTCCTAGGTTGATTTCAACCCACAGTAGCATTTCATCACGGCCGCTTACAACAAAATGCTTCAAAGTTGAAACGGTAAATCCGGATTTTAAAAGGGATTAAAGGAAACTGCGTAGATTTATACCATGGTAGGATATACGTTAAAGCTACTGAATGACGTTACTTTTAAGAAGGCAATGTCACCTAGCCACCTAAAAGGGTTGGTACTTTTTTAAATCTCAAATCAGATACACCTAAAATAGCGACTGCAAGTAGAGAAAAACATAATCATAAACTCTACCTTTAAAATCACCGACCGGTGTTTCACCTTTGACTTCAGTTAAGAAGTGAATCACTAAATAAATGGGTCATTAAATTATGTAATTGGGTATTTATTTAGAACCATTTTTCAAAAGCATACAATGGGTAGTTTGAAAAAATGCACACTAAAATAGTAGACTTATAACGAGATTGTCAACACCCTTACGGTAAGGTGGAAAATTTTAAAGAAATAGTGGTTCTAGAAAGGTATGTATTTCTAGTATCACTATGTGGAGACACTTTCAGTAAAATTTTTTACCTAACCGGTCCAAATGGGAAAATTTCTTTGACTCTAGATAGTGTCAATTTTTTCTCTCCATCTCTATACTTCGTAAACGTTAAATTCTCAATTGAATAACCGTATTGAAAATGAGTATCTTGCTAAGTTAACCGAATAAAGTTGAGAGGTCAATTGACATCTAAATATGAGTTCTAAGCAGGTTGTCTGGTGATAATGGCAGTGAATAAGTATTGCTATAATGGAGAATCATAGATTCATTTAATAAACTCAATACACTTTCATACTACGACCCAACGTCCTGCTGTTCGAGCCGAATACTCTACTCTACTCAGAGTGACCAAATGAGAGTTAAAATAGACAATTGAGACAAAACTGCATTAAGTCTAGTCTCAAGTCGCAAGTTCTAGTCACGTCTATTTTATGTTGCAATCACACTATACTGAAAGCAACTTAAATAAGACCTCTCGCTTTCATGTAGTTAAAATGACGATTAAGAAATCGGGTTGTCTAAGTGTCTTTTGACTTCACCTTCTTAAACACCTAGTTAGTAATTTCAACGTGTCCATTCAAACATTTTTAAACCAAATTGCACAAAATGTTTTATCATTTTGACATAACTATCTGACTGGTGATTGTGGTAGTCAATTTATCTCCTCTCGTACAATGAAAGCATTAAACAAATATTGACGACAGAACAACAAAGGAATTATTTACCGTTCTTACTCATAAAAAAATTAAAATATTTTGAAGACCATAAATGAAGATCATAAACTGGCCCCATTTGATCCAACATTAGTTGTGATTTTGGGTCTCCCACTTTGGATTTCCACAAGTCCCTGTTTTAAAAACATAATTGGTAGCCCTTCAGAGGGGCAGACTTGTACAAATTGAATTCTACCTATTAAGAAAATTGACAAATAGGTTTAAAAGTCCCAATACAAATTTGACAAATGGTGATAGAATATTCTGAATGAATATTATGAGTTTCAGTCGGAAGTTCACAATTTGGACTATTTTCATAAGCCATTGAATTATAACCTTTACGTTCCCTTCTAGTTATTGTCTACTTGATTCCGTAGTCTGAAAATGTTTAAAAAAATTATTTTAAAGTGGAACTCAGTGACAGATTCTGAGCTAATGTTAATGCATAGTTTTGTATCTGGAATGAGTTATTGTTGACTCGTATCAAGGGCTGATGAATTCCGGCTAATTAATTATTATTATTAAGTTTGCTTCAAGCACAGTATATGCACCTCCGCTGCAAATGTGGGCATGCTTCTCGGGAAAAAACCGCGCTATCATACCTCTACCCGATCTGATTTAAGACTGCATCTCCGCGCAGAAACGTAGATTACCATTATTCTAAGAGTGAGTGAGAGTAGAAAGGTCATGTTAAAGTATAAATATAACTCACTAATCAACAGAGAATAAAGCCGGTTTCATGTCACGCAATCCACATGTCCTTGGGTGAAATGGGCAAAAATAGAACAATCCTATTGAAATGTTGAAAGGCCTGTTAAATAATTACAAGCCTTAACTGCAACAAAAAGCTATAGTCTCTAAAACAAAAATGACCACTTTGCGGTGTTGTATTCGAATAAAGGTACAATATCTCCAACCGGCAGTAGAAAAAAGTCATCAGATCGCAAAGTGAACTTCGATTTGCAAAAGTATGCAAAATTTGGTTAGATCACTGGTAAGGTCTGTTTTGTAGGAAAGTTTAGATTTGCTTGTCCAATTATAATATCCTCAACATTAGAAATACGAAAAGATTCAAATTAGTTTATAGATATGCGCCTCTCTAAAACACCTATGCTTTATTCCTTGAAACTAACCCAAATTTTTTCTTCACCACTTAATACAATCATAGCAGTTTACTGACATTTTTATTCAGAGTTTTTGTATTCAAAAGAGAAATACTTTGTTGTACTTTAATCAGTAATCAGTTAGAGGTGGTATTTGAAGAAATGCTCCCTTATTAAAGGCCGATTTTTTTGGTGTTTTAATAACAAAGAAGAATATATGAAGCGAAACACAGGAAATTGGATTTTGAATTGAAAGCGCTACAACATGAGGCGTGTCATAAAGTTGACACAATTGCAGAATTCACAACCCGAAATCTTGTAGCTAACATTACTGCTCGCTTGCATTTCACGATCAAAGAGCATCCGCCCTACAATTGTCAGCCTTATAATCATCCATCTTAAGATCAATCAAGATTTGATGAGGCTCTAAATTTAACTCGAGCAAATGTTACCATCTTGCAACAAGTCGTGTTGA